CCTTGCACTTGCATGGCAGGCGCTGGAACCACTGAGCTAAATCCCCAGCCCCTTGGAGCTAGGAGGTACTGGGTGAGAGATGAGGGATCTCCAGAGGGAGGAAAAGGAGACTATGTTAGTCAGATTTTCATCACTGTGACCAAATTCCCCAGAAAAACAACTTAAAGGAGGAAAGATTTATTTTGGCTCAGAGTTTCAGAAGTTTCTGTCCATACTCATTTGGCTCTGATGCTTCTAGACCAGAAGCATCATGGCAGAAGAGCATCCTGCATCAGAGCTGTTCGCCTCATGGTGGCCAGGAAGCAGACAGATAAGAGCCAGAGAGGAAGGGGGCAGGGCCAGACAGGATCCTCAAGGTCACATCCCCTCAACTAGGCTCCACCTCCTGTTTCCATCATCTTCTAATACCACCCAATTATGGTCTCATCAGTGGATTAACTCATTTAGGAACTCAGTGCCCTTAAGATGCAATTAATCTCTGTCTTCTGAGCACTGCTGCACTTTGGGGGACATTTTGTTTTTAAATCACGACAGAGGCCTTTTGTAGGCAGCTTGAGAAGGGGGAGGCTCCAGTTTTTAGGCCTGTTGGAATTCTCTGGTTTGTGGGTGACCCGGACCTGCCCTACTTGGCCACCCCAGATTCGCCTCACTTGTGCAGGCTTGAGTAAGGCAGCCTTCCCCCACGGCTGGGAGAGAACATTCCTTCTCCCCAGCTCCAGGGCAGCCCCGCCGAGTTGCGCTCGCTCTCCATTTTCATCTCCTCCCACGCACCGCCTGTGCCATCTCGCTTCTAGCGCCTTGGCTCTCCGTGAGCGGAAGTGAGGGGTGTCGGGTGTGAGCCACTGCAGATTCACTGTCGGGCAGGGTAGAATCGGGCCTGATCGGCCAACCCCCCTCTCCAGCCTTAGCTGCCAAAATGACTAAGGCCATGTCCCATTTACACAAGAGTTGGGGATGGGCGAAAGCAAGGGTAAGAAACTCCATCCAGCGGTCCATGCATGATTCTCTGCTTCCCAAGAAGCTGGGTCCACGCGCGCGGCCCTGAAGCTCACTCCGTGTTGGGGGTGGGGTGCTCCCTTCAGAAGACCAGAGGCTCAGCTAGGCACACACGTGACCTCTGTCATCCGGAAGCTCGGCACCAGGACTTGGGGGGCCGGCCTGCTGCCCTGTATCCCCCTCCCCCATCACCCAGGGCGGCCCTCTGGAGATGAGTTCTGTCGCTGCTGCAGGCTGACGGTTCCAGACTTCGCAGGGGAGGCTGCGGGGGCGGCTGGCGCACCAGGCGCAGGCAGGCAGCTCGGGCCTGCCAGCGCCTGCCCTTTCTGGAAGCCCACGCAGGCAGCTTCCGCCGGCCTTCAGGGACAGATTTCCTGTTTGAAGAGAGCGATCTGTGCCTCTGCCATGGACCTGCTGAGCAAACGCAGGACGAGGCGGGTTACGGGTGTTCCCTGAGCAGGGCGAGAAGAGTAGACAGTCTTCGCTGTGACCTCGAGGCAGCACAACTGTCTTTAGGATGCAGCTAACTCCACCGGCTCAGTACCCACCCAGTTCTATTTGGCTTTGGACCGCATGATATGATTAACTTAATCCCTGAGCTGTAGCTCTCACTGTATATTGTGCACAGCAAGGCTCAAAGCAGTTTGATTTTTCTAAGCTTACGCTGACCTTTAGTGGAAGAATGTTACTGCCTTCCAGGAGGGTTGCTGGGCTCAGATGTAAAGGTTGCACACTGCACAAGTGCAACTATGTAAGGGGACACTTTTCACACCAGAGGTTGTAGACTTATGTATTTGTTGCAGCTATTATCCCACAGATGGCAGTAAAGTGTCTGGAGGAAGGGGTTTGTTTTTTTTTCTTCTAATTCACACAAAGGTCCTATACAGGCTAATACAGTGGTATTAATAGTAGCCCTGATACAAGGCCAGAGAGAAATCAGTTCTAGGGGAAATTTTATAATATACCAAATGGGAAATCACTAGGCAACTATAGACCTCGCTTGGGCGACAGTTCCCACAGTTTCTCACTGGGCTCTGTTTCTCCTGCGCTCGCCTACTCTTCCTTGGGAGAAGTATAAATTCCTTGTTAACTCTCTTTGAACTTGACCTTGATTTCTCATCTCTGTTCTCATCTCTGTCAGCCAGACTATGAACTAAAGGCACAATGCCTAAGGTGGTAAGATTGGTGCTGTCGTCTGTCTTCACTTTTGGGAAGCCCCAGGCCAGGTCCCTTTATTTATCAGATTCAGCGAACCTCCTGGCTTGGCTTGGCCACACAGCATTGTAGGGGTAAGGAAATCTAGCCCTGGATTTCCACACCTGCACAGGACATGTTCTACCCCAACAGAGAGAGGGGACTGGTCATCCATCTGCAGAGTCCTGGGCTGCTTAGCTGTTGGAAGATGCATGTGGTCACCCTACAGCAAGCAGCAGACTGTCTTGCTCCAGACAGCTGTGTTCCCATCCTAGGCCCCAGAGAACAGAGCTTCCCACGGCTCCTGCCTGGAAACACACACACACCGAGCAATGTCTAGAAGCACATGATCCAGGCCAGAAAATGGCAAACGATGGCCCATGGACCAAATTTGGCCTGCCACCTGCTTTGTGTGGACCACAAGCTACAAGTAGACTTTACATTTTTTAAATAATTGAAGCCAAAAGAAGAATAATACTTTGTAACACATAAAAATTCTGAGATTCAAATGTCAGTGTTCATAAATAAAGTTTTACTGGGACACAGTTGCATACGTTTGTTCACATACATTTGTATACCAGCAGGGCTTAGTCATTGAGACAAGACCAAATGGTTCACAAACACCCAAATCGTTCCTCGCTTCTTAGAAAAAGTTTGCTGACCTCTGGTATAGGATCTGGGTGGACATGGAGTTCTTTGGGAAGAGCTCTAGATTCAGAGACAAGAAACCTGGCTATGAGCCCCCTGACATTGTGACAGCTGTGTATCCCTAACAACTCACTTCACCCTCTGAGCCCAGGTTTCCTTATCTCTAAGTACAAATTCAACAGCACCTGATCTCCTATAGAATGTGGCCAATGACTTCAAGGATATGTAGGTGGTTTGCAAATTCAAATACCTATGTGAATGTTTAGTAGCATTTGCCTTAGAAGGTGAGTCAACTGTGGCATTTTCACAGATGAAAAGTGGCCTTTCCTTCCCAGGGAAGCCTTTTAGCCCTTTCTTTTCATCATTTGTTTCCCCATTTCCCTACTCACATTTTCTTTTGGGCAGGTTTTTGCAGGACCCACCTTTCCTTTCCCTTCCTTCTGGCTAGCTTCCAGTTGCCAGCCCCTGTTTACATGTGAACATTTTGTCCCCTTACCAATCTCCAGATCCAAGGACTAAAAGCAGCATACAGAATTCCACACATGGCCACATCTGCATTCATTGAAATTCAAGTCACAGGAAATGAGGTGGGATAGGGCGGGAATGGCTCTCATGTGACTATGTGGGAGGAAGGCTCCGTGCATTGTGCTGAGTTTGCCAACAGTGAAATGCTTTTATGCAGCCATATTCTTTGGTTCACATATTCACTTAATCACCAAATAGGGCTGGCCCTGGGTCCTGGGCCTTGTTTTGGAAGGTAGAAACTTACTATGGGGTTCTGCTTGAGGAGGGAATGTGGAAAAGAAAGAAGTGGTAAGCTAATAACCTTCATTGTCCAAGCAGGGAGCCTTTTAAGGAACAGTTCTGTGAGGTGTGTTTGTCCACCCATATTGCGGCTCTTCTCCTCTCCTTGGTGTGGTTGTTGGTCACCTAACACATAGGGAGCCTGCTGTCCATACAGCCAGCCAGCTAGAGATGCAGGGCCCCATCTTGGCATAGAAAGTTCCACAGAGGGCAGTAGCACTCTGCACTTGACTTCCTGACATCTACCTTAGCCGGAAAGCTCTTTCCACTCCTGCTCTGGCCTCTGATCCCTGAACTTTGCCTGGCATCCAGATTGCCTCACTGTGGCTTGATGCTTTGCCTCTCTGAACTTTCCCATGACACGGATGCTGTATGTTCCCAAAGCTCTGCTTGGGCTCTTGCATCACAGGCTTCACTTGTACTGACCCAGGGAAGCTCCTCTGCCTTCTGAGATGCTTCTTGGTCTCTATGCTTCCTCCCCAGTCCAAGAGTCTTCCCTTTTCTGGTCAAATGCCAGACTATAACGGAGTCTTACCATTCCCACATTCTCTCAGCTATGGTGTTTTCTCTACAGTGTCCCTTCACATGGCTGTCTACTTAGGTACAGTGCACATAATAACTGCTTAGGTGTCTCCGGGATGCCCAACCACACAATCCTAGGTTTGGTCTTTGTTTCATGCCTAAGGTAGGCTCAAGACGGGACAAGGCTCAACATGTCAAGTTTACATCGAGCTCCTCCTCTGTTGAGGTCATCATTGAATCTGAAGTGTTTGAGGGTTATAGAGAATTAATTTCTGTTCAATGGATAGAGCAAAGACACAGGAAGTAGATACAGGTCTTTAAAAGTCGCTAATTCCTAAGCATGAATTTGCTGGCCACTCTAGTTTGAATCATTTATGACCTTAACAAATCACATATGAATTTGATTTTCATTTACAGAATCCAATTTCCCCAGTGAATTTCTGCACTGTGGTGCAGCATGGAAAATGGATTAGAGTAAGCAAAGAGAAGCAGAGAGCCCAGTGAGAGACATTTTGATAGTTCAGAGGAGCTATGCCTGTGGGTTGGTTCAGGGTGGCCCTTTGGATCTGGGCTGACTCATATATCCCAAGGCAAGATGCTAATAGATGAAAGCAGAAGGTTTCCACTTCCTCTGACTTCTATATGCATTATATGTAGCTTAGTAGTGACCATTTGAAACCAATGTTGAGTAACTTGTTTCTTGCCCTGTTATTGACAGTAATGACAATTCACACATCGCTAAGAAGGAAGGTGAATTGTGTTAGCTACTTTGGGGTCTTTGTTTTTCTCTCTTTAAGATCCTAAAAAGTTAAGGTTTTCTCTGTTCTTATTCCTAGGTAACAAGTATGAAATCAAGGTGTATACCGGTGACATAATTGGTGCAGGGACAGATGCTGATGTCTTCATCAATATCTTTGGAGAATATGGAGACACAGGTAATGGGGTTGAATCTTTTCTTCACAAGCCATGCCCAGTACTGCTTCTTAGATGAACTGTCTCTCACAATCCTATCAGAAGGTAGTTCGAGCCGCCTTTGGGCTCCTCTTTTGAGCATCTCTCTCTCTCTTTGTAAGTTGGTGTGTGTGTGTGTGTGTGTGTGTGTGTGGTGTGGGTGTGTGTGTGTATGGTATGTTTTCCAGAATAAAGGATGTCTGGGGTTGATTAAGATTGTCCTGCATCCTAGACTATGAACAAACCTAAATTCTACATCTGCAGGGAACTCATTCTCATTTACTGTCTTTATCTCCATGTCTCAGTTACTTTTCTCTTGGTGTGGAGACAAAATACCCAACATCCAGCGTTAAAGGGAAAGGGTTTATTTAGTTTGTAGAGGTTTTAGTCCATAATTGGTTGGGTCCAAGGCAGAGTGGGTTGGCAGAGGGGCATCCTAGAGGAGAAGTTCATGGAAAGCAGCAAGAGCAAGCAAGCAAGGGAACAGTGTCTTTCTGCCCTTTTTATCTTATCCAGACTACTGGGATTAGGGCAGTGCAAAACTAATCACTCATATTTAGTGGTTTAGTAATCACATGCCCTTAATCGCAGCATCACACACTCTAGATTCAGCTAGCTATAATTGCTTGAGGCTTTGGAGGGACATCTAGACCCAAGCCATAACATTCCATAAGCTCCATACCTGCCTGAGCTATACTTTGAGTTGCAGCTGGGTATGTCTGATGCAGTGCAGTGATTTGGAGAAGAACAAAATAGAGCAAGGGAATAGAATTAGACTTGGTCTCACAGATGAAGCAGGAACTGAATACAAACATGGCTGCGGGTGGGAAGTTCAGATCAGTAGGATTGAGACAGGTGGTTCTCTCCTGCTTTTGCCCATTTAGTTGAGTAATACAGGAGTCAGAAAAGCAGTAGGACATGTGGATTTAGGATATAATATATTAAAGAATTTAAAATGTATTGCTGAGCTTGTAAGGAATAAAAAAAGAACTCTCCAGGTGCCAACAATGAAGAGGGAACTCAAAACCAAAGTATTAACTATGAATTGATGCTGTGGCTCTAAGAAAGAGGGAGCTTTCATGCTCAACTTTGTAGAAGATGGGTTTTTATGCCCATCTGGGGTCAGAAAATTAGACCTTGGCCCTGCATGAGGCAAGAGATTTGAAATTAGAACTGCACAGAAAACCAGGAGCCCTGAAGTTTCATAGCAAAATCTTCAGTTGAAAAAAAACCAGGGAAGAATTCACTCATCAGTACTATAAGCTTATCTCTATAAGTTCTCTAAGTCTAACACTTGTGAGAAATTGATACCTTAGACATGTTATCTCATCTATACCTGAGGTCTGATTTCTACGGAGTATGATTTGGGAGCATCTTTCTCCAAGTACAGAATATTGACACCCTGGCAGTAACAAATGCCCTTAAGGACTTGGCAGAAGCTTAGGTGAGCCTGCATGAAATCCCCACAGACGAAGTATTGGAGATACATTTATTTTCTAAAGCTACAAAACAAAAGGGCACAATTCATTAGGACTAAGCATCAATCAACACAACAAACAAGAAGATTAAATCCTTAGGAATTTCAAATAATGGATAATAAGAGAAAAGCTATAACTTCACTTGCTTAAACCTATGAAAGACATGAAGGAAGAAATTGAAGAAAATAAGGCGCAATGAAAAAACATAGCAAATTTGAAAGTAAAATCAAACAGTAATACAAGGAATGAAAAGTAGTTACTAAAGATAAACATGTGGTGGTTGAATTAAACAATATAATTAGAAATAGCTGAATGGAGAATTAGTAAACTGAAATAAACATGAGCAAAATGCTCATATGTAGCATAGAGGAAAAAAGGGTCGAAAAGTAGGAATAAAAGGTCATAGAATAGAGGAGAGAATGAGATTGAAGAGGAATAGTGCATGTGGACCATAGGTGAGAGAAAATATTCAAAGATATAATGGCTGAAACTTTTTTAGGATTCAACAAAGACATTTAGCTTCAGATTAAAGTAGCAAAATTGAACAGATGAAAACAAACCAATATTTAGATACATTGTGGTGAAATAAAAAGAAAAAAGGAAAAAAAGATCTTGAAAAATAGATTTGGCAGATTATCTTCTGTAAAGAAGCAACTAGATTGACAGCAAATTCCTATAGCAGCACATAAAGTCATATTACCATGTAGTAATATCTTCAGTGTTCTTTGAAAAAATGCATATCAACCTGTAATTCTATACCAGCTAGGTTATCATTCCATAGTGAAGGAAAAATCAACAAATTCCCAATGCCAACAAAAAGAAATAGAGTTTACCATTGCTAGACCTATGCCTAAACATCCATTAAAGGATATTCTTTAAGAAAAAGGAAATTGTACACAGAAGAAAGAAGTGAAATGCAAGAAACAAAGGTAAGCAAAAATTAGTAAACTACATAACAAATCTAAGCAAGCATGACTGTACAAAACATAATAAAATGAGTAATATAAGCACAAGAGGAAATGCAGACCTCCAAACACTTAAAATCAATAATACATGAGAAGGAAAGTAGATTATGGGAGTAAAAACATTAAAATATTGTTGTCCACAGCCTATCTCTGTACCTCAAGAAGAATAAATGATTAAGTATAGACATTACTAAGTCAGGTGTGAATATTAAAATTGTAAAAGCAACCACCAAAGTAAAAATATTAAACCTTGGGCCAGGGATTCAGCTCAGTGGTTCCAGCACTTGTCTCACAAGTGCAAGATCCCTAGTTCAATCCCTGGTACCAAAAAAAAAAAAGAAAGAAAGAAGAAAGAAAGAAAGAAAGAAAGAAAGAAAGAAAGAAAGAAAGAAAGAAAGAAAGAAATTAAATCTATCAATTAATAGAACAAATAAAAGGGAACAAAGAACCAATCCAATAGAAAGATATGAGGAAAATGAAGCAAAGAAAAGCAATGGCTAAATAAGCAAAATTAAGGTAAAAGAATCAATAACCCCAATAAATAGAATAAACTTAGAAAATAGATATTTTCAGATTAGATGAAAAGAATTAAAATATATAGCTTAAATATATGAATCTAAAGGTTTGACATTAAATAGAATGGAATAAAATATACCAGGAAAATATCAACAGCAGGAAAGAAGCTGGCTTACCTATATTCTTATCTGCCAAACTTTAAGGCCTGCCACTTTGTTAGAAATAATGGTATGTTAGCGACAAAAGGAATAATGACAAAAAGAATAATACAATAATTCTGAACTTGCATGAATTTAACAAGATAGTCCCCAAATATGGGAAATACTAATTAACAAAATTCTTGGAGTAACTTGATGAATATTGTGCATAATCATAGTGGGAGATTTTAATATAGCATCCTCAATAGTTGATAAGTCAAATGGATAAAAACTTAGTATGAATTTATTTATTTAGTTAATAAGTCTGATCAGATGTAAGCATGTAGATTACTGCATCCAAGTAGTAGAGAGTACAGTATATTTTCTTTTCGAGCACTTAATGGCCACATATAAAACCACAGAACAAGTCTTAACAAACTTAAATGAGTCAATAACATAAAGGACAACATTCTTTGATCATAAGGTGGTAAAATTAAAAACACTCCAATCTCTTGACACATTTAGAAAGTTAAAAGCACATTTTTCAGCAATCAGTCAAGGAAGAAATGATAGTGTGAATAATATGATAGAATATTATATCATCATCATTTGTAACAATTTATTGGTGGAAACTAACAGGCAGCAGCAATAACAAGTATGCAAATCTCTGATGCCTGTCACATTTTAGATCATCCCTGAAGGATCTTGCAGGACAGATTTCATACCCTGGAGAGGGATATTTACCATGCAGCTATGAGGTCTTTAAGCTGCATTATTGAAGAAACCTGAGCCTCTCTCCTGGAATGGGATTCAACAGAAATATGACACTGGGGAATCGTGGCCTCCAATCATCTTGCTATGCTGAAATTCATACTTGGGAGGCACAAGTCTCCCCACTCCCAAGCCTGATAAAAAGACTGGGATCTGAACTTTGTGATTGTCACTATGTGATGTGGCCTGATCTTTCATCTCAGCATCCTAATATGACTGATTGTCTTAAGGGCTTAATTTAGCCAGTTTCCAAGGAGATCAGTAATCAGTAAAGAGATTACACCAGCAATTAAAATTCACCCAAGACATCAGACCCAGAAGTTTAGGCAAAATTGAATATTTCAAAAATAGTTAATCTCCATCTTATACAGTTGTTTCAAAAAATAAGGAAAGAGGTAATGTGCACCAGTTCATTTTATGATTTTTTAATACTCAGATCAGGCAGTTGTATTATGAGAAAGAAATGTATAGGTTAGTCTCATTTATGAACAAAGACTCCAAAATCCTAAATGTCAGTATGCTACACTTATAAACAAATACATAGATAAATGCTAAATAATTTCTACTAATTTATAAGGTTTACTCCAGAGATTCCAGGATAATTTAACATTAGTGAATCTATTTATTTAATTTATGTCAGTAACAGACTCATGGGAAAAATAGAATCATCTCAGAAATGTTCCAGCAAATCCTTTCTTCTATTCATCACAGTACTGAAAGTTACAAGGCCAGGAAAAAGAAATAAAAGATAAAATCATTTTAAAAATGAGGAAGCAAACTTTCGTTTTAATAAAACCTGATCATCTACCAAACCCAGGAGAATTTATACACCATTAGAACAAATGAGAAAGTTTAACAAAGGTGCTAGATATAAGATTAATATACAAAATTAATAAAAATAGCAAGAAATTCAAACATTTCATTAAAAATACACTATATATGGTAGCAATTATATAGGGCCTCAAAATAGCTCTAAAAAGAGCTTTCTGGGAAAAGGATAAATTATATTAAAGGGTATATAAGAATACATAAATAAATGGAGAAATATATTCATGGATGAAAAAAGACCCAAACTCTTTAAGATGATGAAATTTCCCAGGTTTTTCCACAAATGCAATGCAATTTCAGTCAGATTCCCAAAAGGCAATACCTCACTGCTTAAGCTACTAGTAAAATTTGCATAGAACCATAGAGAGCCTAATATTGCCAATATAATTTTGAATAGTGAAAAAAATACAAACAATATTAATAAGATGGCTATATTTACCCTGTTACATACTAAGGCATTATAGATCTCTAACAAATAAAGCATTGTAATATTGGTAGAAGGTTAAACAAAATAGACTGATAGAATTGAATAATCTACAAACACATAGAAATGGCATTATAAATTGGACAAAAAGATGAGATGTTTAATTACTGGTGTTTGAACAATTGTCTAATCATTTGGGAAAAAATAAAATTAGATCCCTACCTTTCATTATGTACAAAAATAACTTCCAGATGGGCTAAAGACTTAAATGTGAAAAAGCAAAACTATAAACTTTTTAGAAGAAATTTTAAGAGAATGTCTTTTATCTTAATTTAGGAATGGGCTTTGTTTGGCTGTACTCTTTTTTTGGGGGGGGGTTGAGAACTTGAAAATAAACGCAGGGTCTTGGACTGAGCTATATCTCTAGCCCTTTAAAAAATTTTTATTTAAAAATTTTTTTATCTCACTAAGTTGCTGAGTCTAGCTTCAAGCATGCAATCCCCCTGTCTCAGTTTCAGTTTCTTAAGCAAGTCACCAAAATCACAAATAACAAAGGAAAGCAGTTAGTAAAGTTTATTAAAACAGGAAAAATCTGCATGATTTTAAAAACACCATAGACAAATAAAAGAATTAAAAAATGGAATAAAAGGAATATTAAAGGAAAAATTACAAAAGGCTATATATATACATATCCATACATATATATAAAAGGTTACACACACACACATATATATGGAGAGACTGAATATAAAATAAGTAAGGGAAATGCAAATTAAAACCATAAAGAGACGTCATTCTACACACATGAATAAAAATTAGCAAGTATGTATGTTAATAATGATTATGAGCAATGAGCGTCCTCATGCAGAGCTGGTAAAAATTAATGTAGTGTGTTGCCCTCATTTTCCAGGGCAGTTGTGGCACATTTAACAAACTGAAGATGAGCACATTCCAAGGCCCATCAACTCTGGTTATAGCTATCAGCTCAGAGCAGTTCTTAAAAGTGTGTAGAAGGAGAAAGGTACAAAAGAATTCATTTTCATGTTATTTACAAAGGCAAAAAATGAAAGAACCCAAATGTCCAATGGTAGAAGAATGAGTATACACCAGTGCTTTCTTTACTCAATGACTATGATATATATGGCAGTTGGATGAATGAGCTAAAGTTACTGGCATCAACAGGGTAATCTCAAAAGGGTAATATTAATGGGGAAAAACAGTAACTTGCACAAAGGTGTGTGATGATGACAAAGGGAACAATAGAACAACGCTGCAGTGGTGCCTGCCATGCTGTAGGGGCTGTCCCCGGTGATTCCTGTGCACCAATGCAACGACTTCGCAGCAACCTTATGAGGCAGGCACTATTAACATCCCTACTGTTCAGATGAGGAACCAGAGGTAGTGAGATGTGCACTATGATGTTACTTATGTGAAATTCTGAAAAAATGCAAAATACAGGGCAAAGTACTGTATTGTCTTTATGGAATCATAAAATTCATGGAACCAAAATTCTTTATGGAACCAAAATTCATGGTTTGCACATGCATGCACCAAGTTGAGGGTAGTGTTTATTTTGGGGTGAGAGTAGGGGGGAGGCCTTAGACGTTTCTCTCATGATTTATTTCCTTAAAAAAGAGAAAGGTCTGAAGCAATTAGACAAAATGTGAACATCTTACTTCTGGGTGACGGGTACATAAAGGTCTGCTACTATTTTCTGTGTGTTTGAACTGTCACAATGTAAAATTTAGAAACAATTTAAAGAATCAAATTTAACAAAGAAAAAACAGGAGCAAAAAAAATTTTTTTAAGCAAAAAAGTTGGTGTTTAGTGAGACTGTAAGGACTAACCTGACTTATATATACATAATCATGGGAACGTGACAATCAAAAACTGCAGACCGGAAAGAACAGATTAAAATGGGAGTCCAAAACTTTGTACTCTTACCCATGTGACTGTTGGCAAGTTATATAACTTTTCTAAGTTTCTGCAGTTTCTTCATTTGCACAACAGAGTTAATAGTACCTTCTTCTTGGATTATGGTGAGAAATAAGTAGAAAAAAAATTCATGTTAAATACCCAGCAGCACCTGAGAATAATTATCAGCACTATTTTCCAGAAAAGGAGTCAGCTCTAAGGAAGTTGGGGTCCCAGCCACAACCACTATGCTAACTACCATGGTCATTTTTCTGATTCAGGACAAATAGCAATCAAAAGCAAAGCCGGCCCTCAAGTCTAGAGATGTGGGAACAAATAGCTTTACTGAAATGAGGACTCTAGATTAAGGAGGAAAGCGGAAGCTCAGTTATGGGATTTGGGCACCAGCCACACACGAGGCAAATCTCAGCTTTGCCAGATCCTGGAGGGATGTAAGGAGCCTTTAGATCTCAGCAGGAAGCCGCCCTTGACTTTGCAAGAGCTCTTTCCGTGGGTGGACCATTAAGGTTTCGAGTTGATTCTTTTCTTCTCTTCTGGTCTTTTGTGACTTTTTTTGCATCTCTGTGTACAGGGGAGCGTAGGCTGGAAAATGAAAAGGACAATTTTGAAAAGGGAGCTGAAGACAAGTTTATGCTGGATGCCCCAGATTTGGGGCAGCTGATCAAGATCAATGTGGGCCACAACAACAAAGGAGGGTCTGCTGGTTGGTTCCTGTCAAAGGTGGGTTCTATTGCTTGTCTGTGGCCCCTGGGGCCTGGGAGGGGGACTTCTAGCTCTTCAGAGGACATATCTCAGTCCACCATCCCTCTATAGGTCTACCTGGCTCCTCTCTGCTGCCTAAGCCTCCCCCTGCACTCCCAGCCAACTATGCTGCCCTCCTTATGCCTCTGAGACTTTACCCTTGTTAGGACCTTCCTAGAAAACCCAGTTCTCTCCTCTGACTCAACCAAGGCGTTGTCTTCCTTCAAGGCTCCATCCTGAAGCTTTCTCTGACTTTGGCCCACCCTTTGGGCTCCCCATTTGCTGTGGTGTGTGTGTGTGTGTGTGTGTGTGTGTGTGTGCGCGTGTGTGCAATTCCCTTCCTCTGTGCAGATCAGATAGCTGCTCAATCAGGTTATGTAAATTGGTGGAAGTTACTCCAGTATTGAGGAGGGAGGGCTGCTAAATCACAGCTGGCTCTCCATATTGATCTAAACTCATCGACTCCAAGACAGACACCATATGTTCATCCAGACGCTTTGAGTTTGGGGGTGTTGGAGGGTGAGGGCCATGTGGCCCAGGATCATTTGGGTATATCTAGGAGCCATTTGGGAAAAACATGGAGGAAATGACCCCCGATTGACAGCTTCATTTCTTCCTTCCCTTTCTTTAGGAGGCATTTTACCTTCTTGGCTTGTGATGGTGTGTCCCTGCCACCACATAATATAGTTGGCTCCATCATGGACAGGCCCCCTACTCTGGCATCAGTCTCACCTGCAGGGTCTCAGCTCATCACCCAATTTGCTTCTCACCTCTCAGTAGGCCAGCTCTTCCTGTAGGCTTGTCAGCAGGTGGAGAATATTCCTCCAGGAGATAATGGCTCTTGCTTTTTATTAGGTCATTGTATATGTATACACACACACACACACACACACACACACACACACACCCCAGGTATGTGCTTTTATCACTCATTATGAAGGGTGCTTCTATCTTTTCCAGTCTTATATTACATTATTTTACAATTAAGTTTCCTTGACACATTTTGGGAGTCTCCCCTACCCAGTTCCTTGGTGCATTCTAGAAGACACATTTACTCTCATCAAGCAAGTTCACATGGAAGTCCCCTCAGGAAGCTGCATCGATGGCCAGCTCTACTTTCTGTTTAGTGATCTGATCACTAGGTCCTAGAATTCTCTCTGCCTGATTTGGGGTTACAGTTCCCCTTGTGTGGACTCTGGTTCTGACTAATAAGTTCAGAAGCCCAACCTTCAGTAGGTGAGGAAAGTGACCACTTTGTCCCAGTTTACAAATCCTGGGTTCCAGTTCTTGTATCCCAGGATCACAGGGCACTCCCTGCCACATTTCTTGGTCCAATTTTCAAACTGTCATGCAGCAATGGAGGGAAATGTAGCTTTGGAATTCAAGTAGGGAATAAGTGCCAGTCATCCCAGCATGGTTTTTTGAGCCTTTCCTGGCAACAGCTGTGTCCTGTGATCAGCTGTCCTTGGCCCACGAGGGGATGAGAGTGTGTATTCTTAGAGTACACTCAAGTGATTGGAAGGGTTGGATTAGAGGCCCAGGTGCACCCTTGATGACACTTAATCACATTCCTCTCTTCTCCTTCCTAGATTGTCATCGAAGATATTGGGAACAAAAGGAAATATGACTTCCCCCTGAATCGCTGGCTCGCCTTGGATGAAGATGATGGAAAAATCCAAAGGGATATCTTAGTGGGTGGAGCTGAGACCACAGGTAGCATGGAGACAGGAGAAGCCCCACTGGCTAGTGCTATACTTTCTGCCTGAGGGTCAGTGTTTACTCTGTGGGCCTAGCAGCCTGTGAGCAAGCAGGAGCTAGGACAGTCTGCAGACAGTGCCCTTCCTACTCTGGAAAATGGACTGTTTCTGCAGGCTGTAGCCAGGGCTGTACTGATGCCAGAAGAGCTGGGGTGAGAGCCCTGAGTGGATACTACCTTACCAGCACAGAAGAAATTGTCCGTAAGAGAAAGCCAGAATCTAGGGTGTGGACATGTGAAGGTGTGGATTTGCTTTTAACTCCCCCTAATATCATGTGCTTTCTGTATTTCAGGCCTTCTGCTTGGCACTTGGCCCACTTATTTCCCTTCAGTTCTCACAACCACTCTATAATGGAGGAGTTATATATTCCCATGTCACAGATAAAGAATCTGAGGGACACAGAGGTTAGGATCACCATCCAAGCTCATACAGCTAGTCAATGATAGGTCCGGTATTTGGTCTGCCCCCTAAATTACCCTCCATAAGTTCCACAGAGAAGCTCCAACTTCCAGTGTGGCTGAGCTGATCATGGGGGTTTCCAGAAAATCCATGTTGTTCGCCTCTGAGAATATGCTCTACTGACAAAACTTCCACGGCTTACTTCTGCATGTAGACAGAGTCCAAGTTCTGTAGTGTTATATATAAATTGACCCACAACTTGGCTCTAGTTTATCCTGTCAGCAGAATATCCCAACACCCTTTCTTTACTGTTTCCACAGCCCTTCCATCTCCCCCAACTGCACCTGCAAAACCTTTCACCCTTTCCTCTGCTAACACACTCTTTTTCTCCACTACATTCACACACCTTTCCTCTCTCCCAGCCCCTCCCCTTGCTCCTACCTCTTTTCTCTTTTTGTCCTTGGAACTGCTTTCTGTGTAGTCTGCCATTTCCCTTTTTTCTGCTTCTCAATTTCTTCTTCCAGTTACTTCCTCTGAGCCCTCCTGGCCTCTCAAGAAAGTGTCATTTCTCTCTCTCTCTCTCTCTTTTGTGTTTTAGATACTGGGGATTTCCCTTCTTCAGTTCCATGCACTCTGTGCAGGCCTTTGCTGCTGCTGTTTAGGACAGTCAAAGCTCCTCTGTTATAGCAATTTCCATCATCAGACTTGTGGCACTTTGGTTGACCTGCTCATTGTGAGGAGGCACAAGTCATTGCAAAGAAAGTTTACAACTTCAAAATATACACTAGAATAGATTTACTATGACCCATAACTGTATAGTTACATGTCTCCCATTGATGAAGGAAGAAGAGAAATGACAGCAGCTGGGAACTGCTCATAACCCAAAGAATAGGGACTATCTGGTGTGAGAACACCATCTGTCCATGTGCCTTAGAAAAATAAATCTTAAGACCCACTTTTGTAGAGCAGTGGCCTTTTCTTTTTATCTTCACGTGCTTCTAAAGACCTGGTGTCTAGTAAGCACTCAGTAAATGTTTGTTGAATCAAAGAAGTTGTGAATGCATGAGTGAATAATGCACTCATCCAATTGGTATTCTATCTTCCAAAGACAATTGGGATTTTTATTTCTCTGGGATCATGTGATGAGGTTATGGGGTAGGTATGATGATAGGTAGGATGAAGGATGGTGAGAAGGATCGGCAAGATCTAAAATGCCAGTTGCCCTAGACCCCAGGGAAAAATGAATGAATTTGGGTCAGATCTTAGCAAAATTTCCCATCTGAGTGTTTGCTTTTGGTATTTTTTCTTACTCTGCCCGATTTACCAGTTTAATCCTTCTTAATGGCTTTTCCATTTCATGGAATTTCATGTCCTCACAAAACTTCTTGGCTAACCAAAAGCCAGTACGGCCCAACCTACAATGTCATTTCTCTCCCTCAGTCCTCTCTTACTCACCAGTCAGGTGGTAAAGAAGGACAGGCATGCTCTCGCTCAACTTAGGTTTTTAAGTTATCAGCAAGCTAAATGAATTGGATAGCCCTGAATATAAATCTCTATTAATGGAATTGACTGTCATAATTAGATTAGACATAACAATTCATGTGGCACCTATTAATAATGTACACATGGTCATTAACATTAATAAAAAGAACTATTCTTAGCCAGCTCAAGTTCCTCCTTCTCTTTGTCAGTTTCCTGTAATCAGACTGGCAGCCTCCTGCAATAATAGACACAGTTTATTCTCAAACTACCAGACACTGACATACAAACTTTAAACAGATGAAATGAGGTTATGAGGGACATTGGAGGTGGTCTGATGTGGAGGAGGACATGAGAGGGAAAGAAGATGGATATTTAGAAGAAGAGGGTTCAGGGGATGCTTGACCTATGAGGGGGAGGGAGATTATTGTAATGCAGCTCACATTGAACGCTTTCTTCCCATTTCCTCATCAGCTATTACCTATATTGTCACTGTCTTCACTGGGGATATGCGAGGAGCTGGGAGCAAATCCAAAATCTACTTGGTTATGTATGGAGCCAGAGGGAAAAAGAACAGTGGGAAGATCTTCCTGGAGGGTGGTGTGTTTGATCAAGGCCGCACGGACATCTTCCACATCGAGCTGGCTGTCCTCCTCAGCCCTCTGAGTCGAGTCTCCATTGGGCATGGTAACGTGGGTGTTAACAGAGGCTGGTACTGTGAGAAGGTAAGGAATGCCTTGACAACAGCCTTGTCTGGTTCAATCCCTTTTTAACCTCTGAGTACAAGCTCTAACCGGAATCCTATTTCCTGCTTCTTTTGGACCAGTTACAGAGCATAGGGTAATCCCTTTCTTTGGCCATTGTGGTCACTGTGGGTGGTAACACACCCATCCCTCTTGTCTTGCAAATGGTTAGGAATGGGGTCTGTTCTCCAACCCTGGGTAGGATATTTCTAACTAGCAGTTTTCACTCAGTATGAATTATGCAATATAGATTCATCCAAATGATAGCAATATTGTGTTACAATACTCGCTAATGTATATTTTTCCTGGCTGTAATGTATTCCTTTCTATGAGTCAGTTGTAATCTATTCACTTGTTGAAGGATATTTGGGATTATTTCTTGTGTTTGCTCCTATGAACAATGCTGCTGTGAAATTCTTCCACCTGTGTACAAGGGCTTCCCAGGGTGGAACTTTTTGAATTTTCAGCCTTGCAATAAAGGTTTTATTTCCAAAATATTCCAGAATATTTTCCAAAGTAGTTGCATCATTTTGTCAGCCACATGTCAGAGGCATTTTGTCTTATAAATCCTTGTTGCCTGAATTGGTAGTCTTTACCTTGTGGTTGAGAACAAATCTCAATGTGGTTTAAATTTTTGTTTTCATGACTACCACTAAGGCGGAACATCTTTTCATCTCTTTTTTGGCCATTCATGGTTCTTTTTGTGTAAAATGTCTGCTCGTATCTTTTTCTAATTTTCTACTGTCTGATCTATTTTTAAATTTATTTTTAGGAGATATTTATTTACTCTAGATATTAAGCCTTTATTGATAGCATTGAACAAATATCTTCTTATGGTTTGTTTAAAACATTATTTGAGGAATTTATCAGTCTTTTTCTTTATTTTTAATGCTTTTTATATTGTTGGAAGACATACAGTTATTTTAAAGCTATAAAATATTTTCCTATACCATTATG